GCAAGTGGTTAGCGCGTTCGGCTGCGATCGTTGACGTTAAGTAACTTTCGCAGTGGTCGGTCATTGGATGGGTGACCAAAAATTTACTATCTCGAGCTCCTCCGTGCTTCAGAAGGCACGTTAAGCCGTTGGTCCCGGCTGCATCTGCAGTCGTTAGCACCCGCCAATCCGCACTGGGCCCGCGTGGTGTGTCATGGCCCAATCTCCCTATTCCATCCATAGGGAAGGCCTGTGCCCCAGCAGTGGGGACATTAATAGGCTAATGATGATGATGAATAATTTCTAAACGGCTTTCTTCTTATTTTTTTTTAGTTTTATTTACAACGCCACCTTGTGCGCACTTTGTACTCCAATTATGTCTTCTTGACTCTCTTTTAAAAACACAAGTTAGAGGTTACTAGTATATAATTTAGACCGGCAAAAAAAATGTAGTTTGTGGAACACGTATTTATTTATTTAATCTTTATTGCTTTTACAATGCAAATGGTGGACTTAATGCCAGTATGGCATTCTCTATCAGTCAACCAGTAAGAAGGTGCAGAGATAATTAAACGTATCTGAACTACCACACGCATGTAACCTAATTTTGAGGTGAATGGAATCAAACTCAACATATAATTATAGTATAACGTCCAATATATGAAGGTACATAACTTATTACGGAAATAAATACAAAATTATTAGACGTTTCCAGTCTTTGACAGGAAGACGGCACCGATTTGTGTTGTTTTGTTATCTATAGTTTTTGATACTCTATAATTCCCAAGAATTCGGACAGTTTTGTATTAGTGACATTTAATTGAATGCCCTAGAGGCAGTCTGTCTCACCGCCGGCGAGGCAGCGACTAACTATCGACTGTTTTTTCGTTCAAGAAACGTACAAGTACATAGATATACATTCCAAGTAAACAAATAGATGCGTACAATTAATTGTTGATCACTAACTGCTCACACTGTCGCCGAGATCTCGCTCCACTAGTTTGTCACTGAGCGACAAGAGCTATCAAATATTCTGCCTGAGTTATGCTCGTATGTCTCAAAAAAAAATGCGCGCAGGCATTTTTGCTCAGGACTGTCACCGAGAGCGAGTGGCGTAATCGTCCGTTGTACTCGCACACTCGCTATTTGCCCAGAGATAAAACTATCGGAACTACACACTCGCTTCCCGCTTCTCCCCAACTCGTTTCTAGTTTGTTGTTCTACTCGCTTCTCGTTCAACGTCGGCAATGGGACAAGTGCCTTTCATTTTGAATTCCCCTTCATAACGAATTAATTAGCGAAGTTCCCTATACAATAGACCACATAGCCAATGTTATCTGAAAAGCGTTGTCATCGTCAGACATAAATAAAATAATAAATTAACAAAGAAAATTACTGACACAACCAGACGCACCGCTATCTCCAATTGTTTTTCCCTTTCCCAGACAACCAAGGAATATTCCATCTCATTCGATATCGGGATACCTTCTTTGAAAGAAACTTTAATTGTGTTTTTAGTTCTGATATATTTATCAGAACGCAGACAACGGTATTCCGCGTTGTCTTCATGGAATAGTGTTTTGTCCCATTGTTTGTCTAAGTTTGTATTCTATGATTGGTTTGTACACGTGTCGACCAATTTAAAAGTAAATTTGTCACTTCCGTGAAACAGTAATAACATATTTCTATGTTACTACAATATTGAAACTAAAATAGAACTATACGATAGCGTTTCCATTTGCAGAATTAATATATATATATATATATATATTAATTCACTCAGATTCAATCAGAGTGAATTTTGTTGATATTACAATTTTGTTGATATTTGGTAGCGAGTAGTTTTATTATTTATATTTATTTACGCTGGTTCCTGGGCGAGTGGTTTGTAGTTTTAGAAAGCAATATACTTATGTAAATAGGTACCCATCAATAAGCGCAAAAAAGGAATTATCTCATCTGATGTTTAAGTGGACCCATCTTTGACCTATTGGAGGCCCTGGGCATATTAGGATAATGGGGCCCCTATGATTTCCGTTTAGTGATTTAACAGGAACTAGGGACTTTGTATTTGATCTGAGGGATCCCCCCTATCGATCGCGACTCCATTTGTGGTAATATAAAAGCAGCTTCAGTTACTTTCAACATAAAATTATATTTTTTATTCACGCGCATGAATTATTTGATCAAATTGTGTCGCGTCTATGTATAGATTTTCTAAATGAAACTCCTGAAAAGGTTTCACAATATCAAGAATTTTGGAAGTAACGTTGAAGTTTGTATCAGTAATCAGTTGTTCAACGCTGAAGGCATCCCACACATACCTTTCAATACTTTAGTTTAGCGTCGCAATATTTCAAAAGTTGTGCACACTTTTCGCACTCTCTTTGGCGTTTCCCGGTGGAGAGTTAAATGTTGTTAGCCAGTTTTTTACACTGGCAGGCGGAAAACAAATAAATCTTATTATATAACGATGAATTTTACTAAAGGGTTAGCTTTCAACAACAGCCAAGCCTTCCAATTGAAATGGGAATTCAGCGGGAATTCCAATAGAGTAGATAAAGTTGCCATCCATTATTTAAATGTCACTACTGTATAAAACTTGGGAACGAAATTTGTAAATCACACTAATAAATATCTGTAAAATGAATCCTTGTCTTTCCCTATCCCTTGGTCGGCTTCCATCTATCTGGCACCATCTTGTTGCACCGACATTCACTTGGCATAACATACTTGACATAATCTCCTTTAAAAGATTATTTTTAAGGCATGCTGTTTGTAAATATATGTATATTAATATTTGGCTGCATACTAAATAAAATAAAAATAAATATGTCCAACACTCACACCAATTAGCCTAGCCCCAAAGTAAGCACTGTAAAGCTTGTGTTATGGAATGCTAGGGTAACGGATAGAATACATATACTGTACATAAATAAACATATTTTTATAGAAATTCATATTAAACATCCATGACTGGAGTACAAATGCTCGTATTCATCACACAAACATCTGCCCCCACCGGGATTCGAACCCGGGACCTTTCGAGACGGCGACACCATAAAACCCGGCGTACAAACCACTCAACCACGGAGGTCGTCAAAATATTGTTAAGATGGCAGAACTTGACAAGGCATAATTACCTTTGGCAAAGTATTATTCTTCATAATTGCGTAAAGTATAATCGCTGTTTTTGTTCAGTGGGTTAAGTTGGTGTGGTAACCGAAATTTATTGACATAATTACTGACCCTTCCAACCTCCCAACCTCTCAAAGAAATAAATAAAACAACAACTATAGCAGAATCAGAATAATAGATGTTTCTATTTATGAATGCAATCTAAATTAATTCAATAAAAACATAACGTAACTTATTGAACTTACTATTTACTAGTGGCCCGCCCTCGCTTCGCTTCGGTGTAGGCCTATTGTGTAGACTTTAGTTTTTTTGTTCTCAGGCTTGTATTATACACAATGACAGTCTTCTAATACCTAATTACAATAGGCACGCGCCGCCAAGCCCCCCGCCCGGTAGCGTCGGAATCGACCTATGTCCCTGCATTTGAAATCTGTAATATCTTCGAAAATATTCATTTAAATTACACCCGTTAAAAGGCCAAATTGGTCTATATTAAATGCACAATGTATTTGAGGTACTTAATTGGATAAGGATGAATGGTATATAGCTGAAAATCGCTTCGTAAATAAAATAATCTATTATTTCTCGTCAAAAGTATAGAATAAAAAATGGTTATTGTGGGTTATCCCTAAAAGATAGACATATATAATCGATGACTTTTTGGAGACCTTTTTAAGGTGTACAATATTATAGTATATTATTTTGATCTATCTCGTAGGGTTCGGCCAGCGTTTGCAATGTAAGCGCAAAAAAATGTGTTTATTTACGACCTTACATTAAAAACCTCTAAAATTATCAGTGTTTCTTTACTATATTATGCATGTATTATACATATAAACCTTCCTCTTGAATCACTCTATCTATTAAAAAAAACCGCATAAAAATCCGTTGCGTAGTTTTACAGATCTAAGCATACATAGGGACCTAGGGACATACAGCGGGAAGCGAATTTGCTTTTATACTATGTGGTGATTAATAACACAGGGCCATTGCTCTAGCATATGTGTAAAAACAAAGAATAATTTGATTGGTCCTTGGTTATGCGAAAGTTTTGTTCAGAATTATTTACACACAATAATAACGAAACAATTTGAGAAGTATGACGAAATATCGTTATAAGGCATCCAATATTATCGACCGATAGAAACGCGCCTATGGAGCCGTATGATATCATTAAAGTAATAGTTCTTTATCTTTATTACATGTCAATAAATATAAAATATCTATTATTATATATATTAATAAATCATTAATATTTATTGATATTTTTATATAATTGTTGCCGACGCTAACCCTTGCGTAGTAGAGCAACGTAGAGCTCCACTTTTAAAAACATTTTGCGGCAGATAAATGCGTTTTGTCAACTCTAAAAAACCTAAATTTCGCTTAACCTATTATTAGGCAATTAAATTATTCGAATCAATAGTTTAGACTCGACGAAATAATTCACGAATGCGAACAGTAGCGCATTGTATTCTTTATGAAATGGAAACGCTCCATTCATCAAATTGTGTTGGTATAGTGTAAATTAATTAATTTATAAAAAGCTTTTGGCTACGCTTTCAAAGAGACCGGTTGATTTGCTTTTTAGGGTAATTTAAATTTATAATGGAATGACCACTCTTTTTTATTGTTATTCGCGGATATCTCCGAACTTTGATGATTATATTTTTGTGCCATTTTAACCCAGAATAGAATGGAAACTCAGACTATCAGACATGCATGGCACCGATTCCAAATATTAATTGGAGTTTAAAGTTACTTTAGACTTAAGCAAAGAAAATTTATAATTTCTTAGTTTTTATTGGTTTTGTTATTATGAAGTCAGTTTTTATTTTTGTTAAAACAATTTTGTTATGAAATAAAACGTCATTTTGTTACAGGTCTGCGTGTTCGGGAGCCTGGCGAACGCGCTGAACGTGGCAGTATTAACTCGTCGGGACTTAGCGGCGGCGCCGATCAACAGGCTGCTCAAGTGGCTGGCGGTGGCGGATGTCTTTGTCATGCTGGAGTATGTGCCGTTCGCCATCTATAGATATTTGGTGAGAATATTTTTTTTAAGGTACATCTTCCAGCAAATTGCTCCACGTACGCCTGAGTTCAGACAGGCAAATGGTTTCATTCAAAATCTCATGCTAACTTTAAAGTATAATCTGTCCATTTTTTAAGGGTGAACCACTATAACATTTTACCTCAAATTAATGGGGGTGTAATCGCAGGGTACCTCTAGTTAAATTATAAGATTTTATCACCGTATTTGAAAGAAAATTTTGCGCCTATTTAAAATATTTACATCTGAAATTCCTTATAATGGGAAACTTTATTGGTTTCTAAAATACCCGGACCCTGATTCATGCATTGCTGCTGAGTGTAATGATTCCTATACATACTATGAGTATAATTTGAAAAGGTTTTATTTGACCTTTAAAGGCAGAGTTTTCATTCAAATGAATAGGACTGTTACATTGAAGGGAAGGTTTTCTGATAATTAGACAGACCACCCGAAACTTTTGTAGACACCCACTTTTTATATGTGCCATATGATTAAATGAAATAAACTTTACTGAAATAAGTAAAATCGGAGCATTCCTAACGAAATTTGTTTTAAAGCATACTCAACCGTGTTCTTGTTACTTATCCAATTTCATCTGGTATGATCCAATTTGATCTGGTATCATTCGATTTTATATTGTAGGTACAGGTATTTTTATGTTTAAATGGGCCCACCAGCAGCTTATTAAATTTTAATTGTTTTTGTTTAAAAGTTTTTATTTTATTTTTGCCATTTTCAATTGATATGTGCAGATCCTTCCCGAGCAACGCGAGATGCCGTACAACTGGGCCGCTTACCTCCTGTTCCACATGCACTTCACGCAGATCTTCCACACGGCATCTATCTGTCTCACTCTCTCGTTAGCCGTCTGGAGATACGTCGCTATCAAGTAAGTGAATTCACAAAAACCTGTGTTTATACTTTTACTTATTCTTTTCTGTACACCTTAAAGCTATGCCTCAAACTCAATTTGACAATAGTATATATCTCTTCTTCTGCTCTGTATGAATTAAACGGAAAGACTGTTGTCAAATTTTATTTTAAGCCTTTAAGTGCGTTATTATCGATGGAAAATATCCGATACGTTATTGCGATATTTTGTCATAATTCTATCGCAACAGTGTGTAACTTAGTAGCCGTTCTTATACATAAATAAATAAATATTTCCTTAATTCACCAATTAGCCTAGCTCCAAAGTAAGCACTGAAGGCTTGTGTTTAAGTGTTAGGGTACCGGATAGAATAAATAATATACTGATACGTATATATAAGTATATGTATTTTATCCAGAAATATATATAAACATGGCCATGACTAAGGTTAAAATGCTCGTATTCATCATACTATCATTTGCCCCCATCAGGGTTCGAAGCTCACGAGTAGGTGACACCTTGAATCCCGCCGTATATACCACTCATGGTCATGGAGGTCGTCATGTACTAAGAAAAAAAATGGCAAAAACGCATCCGATATAATAACGCCCCTATGGGGGGAGGCCAATTTGGAGAATCGTGTCAAAATTAGGCCCACTGCTTACTTAAGTGTTACTACAAACAGGCTGATTAGCGTCACGTTACGCACCATCACTGTGTTTCACACAATTTCAACAAACCGATCAAAAATCAAAATATCTTTATTCAAATTGGATACAAAATACAACTCTTTTGAATCGTCCATATTTTTTCCCTACCACCAGTTACGAACTTTTTTTAGCTGTGGAGAAAAACTGGCGAAAAAAACTTCACAGCGTTAAAAATAATGTAACAATATTTCGGAAAAAAATATATTGTTACGGTGACAATACAAAATCATTTCATTATAATTATAGAAAAAGCCTGCCGAAACTTTTGAAACAGTTTAAACCCAAGCAATTTTGTCTGAAATATAATCAGACGCTTTATAATAGGCTTTATTAATAAGTACTCTTATACTGGTAGTTTTAAATTTATTGACGCTTAAGTTTTGGATATGGCTAGGGACTTTATTGTAGGAGCATGCACAAAGACCTTTAAGTGAATTATTGATTTTGTGGAGCCACTAATTTACAACTAATTTATTTTTATTTCTAGTATTAAGCGAGTGCTTATCACTATTTAGAGGAAATAGTAATAATATAATATTATCAAATAATGTAATATTTTTTCTAACATACATTAAATTTTCATAAATGTACTGAAAAGCAACAGTCATTATATCGATTTCTTTATTTTTTTCTCTTAAAGAGTCCCTAGTCTTAAGATTGGAAATTGATCGAACAGCCCGCTTCTGCAGCACAAAAATCTCCACGATAATATCGTTGTCCACCCACGCAAGTAAATACAAATACACGAAAGGAATTCTATGGAACACAATGTGCGATGCCCATGATACGCTGTAAGTGCTGTTCTTTCCTTCCTTTTATTCCTAAAAGGGTTGTCACTGCTTCGATAGTGTAAGACCACAATGAAGATACATTAACAGTATAGCCGTGTTCGTAAAACGCCAATTTACTTTATTTTTAACCGTATAATAGAACCCTATTTATGAAACTTCCAGAAAGTCGGTCACCGGATGCGTCTCGTAAACCATTAACGTGAAAATTTGACTGACTAAATATTTCTTTGGAACGTAGTTCCTTTTCAGATGGTATATTTTATGGGGGCTAGGCGACAATTTTGTAAGATTCTTCCGTCACAACCTAGCGAGCAAGTTAGCTAGGCAGCTGGGTGGGTAGCTATCTAGAGGGCAACTGGGTGGGTAGCTACCTAGATGAGCAACTGGGTGGGTAGCTAGCTAGCTAGAGGAAACACCCATTTGCCCATCTGGCAAATGGGTGGGTATTTATTGAGATGGGCAACTGGGTGGGTAGCTAGCTAGATGGGCAATTGGGTGGGTAGCTATCTAGATGGGCAACTGGGTAGGTAGCTATCTAGATTGGCAACTGGGTAGGTAGCTATCTAGATGGGCATCTGGGTGGGTAGCTACCTAGATGAGCAACTGGGTAGGTAGCTACCTAGATGGGCAACTGAGTGGAGCAAAACGGGTGAGCGACCACTGATGATCGTGGCTGTGGACTTGGTTTAAAGTTTTGTTTAACAGTTTGACGGAATCGGGGGATCGGGCCACGATCCACCACGCGGCCCCAGTGCGAATTGCTGAGTAGCATGCTTTTTTTTATGGAATAGGAAGATATTAAGGTGTTTGGGTTAGGCACGGGTGGATTGTATATAAATATTTATGACTTCGTTTTAACGGAGTGCTCTACGACACTCACGTATTTATTTTTATTGATTATGTAAGTAAGCCTTTCCAATTAAAAAATAGAGTCATTTAAAAGGTGAATTAATACTATGGATGGATCTACGAATAGAAAGTACGGAACGTTCTCACAGATTTCATTTTGGTATTATCTATAATTATGACACAAACTCCATGATAAATTGCGCAGATTCTGGTACGCTCGCCTTGCTCGCTACATTTATGTAGGTTGTAATAAGTTTACTGCCTATAAGGTTATAAAAGATGTTACACAAATCTGTAATTTATGAGCCCGACAGACATGATCCCTCTTAAACGATAAACGAAAACTAAGCTTCTCCTAAAGGGCTGGATTGATTTAAGTAAAACTGTGTGCATTTACAATTGGACACGATAGGTGACAAATTATGTGGCCAGGTTCTGCGATCTTATCTGCACACTTTATTGACGGCTGGTCGGGTTAAATAAATCCCCTTTTAACAAGTTAAATAGCCTCTCTGAATTTGTATCGCTAGTTCTTCTTATAGGTCTCTCAATTTGAAACTTGTGGTAGTTTATGGTAGTTAGGGTCAAAATAAATAAATATAGTGATTATGAATAATAAGTAAGCCACCCGCGAATTCATCCGCGTTAACTGTAGTTGTTTGAGAATCCTTCAAAAAAATAACATAATTGGATAAAAGGATCTTTTGTCTAAATACAGGATTTAAACTTAACGTGTGCCAAATTTCAGCCAAATCCGTTTAGCTGTTTTTGCGTGGTTGAGTTACAAACATACAAATTTTCATATTAATATTATTATTAGGATTTATTAATTACAATTATTTTTACAGGAGGTTTTTTTTGCTGAATCAATTATGAATTTTATACTGGAGTTTCTCATTATTCATTATTCAATTTGTGTGTTTTAGCTTTATTTGACGTCTGAGCAAATCAATTATTATTTTCTTTGATCCTGAGGTTATAAGTCAAAGCCATGTTTATTTATTTTTTGCTTATCCCATTTTCTATTTACTTAAGCTCACAAATATCTCTGGCTATCCAACTGGTCAAAACAACTAATAATTTATAAATACGCTCAATTTCAGCTAATTTTAGAGCGTCCCTACAAATATTTCCAAATTCTGTAATATTTCGGGGTTGATTATTTTTTTGGAATTAGTACTAGTAATTCATTTATCAGGAAATTTAAATATATACACTTAATTGGGTATAACAACATCCAAAATATTTTTTCTAAGTTATTCTCCTAATTTCCATTAGCTGTCCAATTAACAGAATCACACTTTCTTTATCTTTCTTTAAAACAAGATATGATTTTACATCGCAAAATATCACCAGTTTAACAAAAGTATGTATTTACTTATAGTGAAAACTATGTTTATCCTTTCATTTTACCCAATTTCTGTCACTGGTTAAGAAGTTATAAATATTCATTATCTAAGTAAATTATACTTTTCCATATCACATATTAGGAATACGTCAGTATGGCTGCGCCAGTAACCGAAGTGTTTGATGTCCAGTGTTTCGGCGTCGCACTAAATAACATAATAAAACCATTTGCATGGCTTACGATTTCTCTAATATCCGTTTGCTCATTTAAATTTTCCCTGTTACGCCTGAAACTTTTGTCAGTTAAATGATTATGAAACGCTGAACTCATCCCTAAAGCATTAATTATTCAATATTACTAACCAATTTTTCCTCATTACCGTCACCCAATTTCATCATGCTAAAACGTGAAGAAAAACATAAAATTCCTAATTTTGTTTGTCACTATTTTATTTGTTGCAAGATATTATAGTCAATGAATTGTCGCTGACCGAGCTGATTGTATGATCAAAATATCGCAGAAGTTTTTTTTTGTTATTTCACACAACGGGTGAGTTTTACTTTTGGACATTGACATCTGAAAAATGATTATGTATATTAAATATTTCTATGCATGTGTTATTAAAACTGAAATTCATAATTTATTGAGGGATTCTTTAAAGGTTGTCCCTGCCAATCTAATTTTCGTTACGCTTAAAGTATATCAATTCATAAATCCAAAACAAAGTAGTTAATTGAAGTGCCAAATGTACGTATTTATAAAGTTTGGCGTGTTTTTCAAGTTTTACTGTCGGTGCAAAGAATTTCATGAAAATTTAAAATCGTGGCGGAAATTAAACAAAGTACACCTTGTCGTGAGAATGACCGAATAACGACATTAACAATGAATAGGCAATCAGGAATGAGGATTGCCTTATAAAAACATTGAATTTTAATAAAACCTTTTCACGTTAAATATTTGCGTTGAGTGGGTGTGCTTTTTGCGATATTTTTTATTAAATACTAACTCTGGTGAAAGCGTAGGGTCTGTCTAAGCCTACGAGCAAGATTAAAACTGTAAGGGTTAGAACTATATGATAAGAGGAGCGCAGCATTAGCGGGAGCGGTTAAGAGACTCGCGAAAATTATTCGACTTCGGTAATTGTATTTTATTGATATTAACAATTATTTTGTGCTTTTATTGAGTAGCTGTAAACAAAAAACTTGTATGACATGGAAAAATCACTTGAAAAGTTAATAAAATAATTGAAAGACGAATATTTGTTACCGCGTACAAAAACATTCTTAGATATGTAATAGGTTGAGGAAAAAGTCTTTCGCATTATAGTACGAGTATATACGAACTTGTAATAAAATCTCTTTGGCTATACTATTCGTACCTGGCTGGTTTTGGTATCATTAAAAAGATAAAATTTTATAGAAGATAATTCTAAATTCAAATTAGAAAAATGTGATTTTCTTTTGTTTTTCTTACTGTCAAGATGAGTGAATACAATGAAGAAATTCGATACATGACTTTTTGGCGGGATCGGGTAGCGTCACTTTAGCAATTTTGTTTTTCTTGTTAAAAATTGTGTAGTGGCGGATGTTAGTGTCTTATAATGGTGGATTATTAACCACTAAGTGTTCGGAAACATGCAAAATTATTGGCAAGTGAAACAAAATACCTGAAAGTGTCTTTCTACGTTCCCTCAAGAAGTCCACGGGGAGGTTCCAGTAAATCCCCACACCACGAGTGCTATAGAATATGTTTAAACATTTTACACTTGACATTGGCTAAATGCACAAACCGTGCGAAGCCATATAGAAAAAAAACGATACATTTTAAAGTTTTACCACAAAAAAGATAAAAAGAAACGCAAGCAGCGAAAAAAAATAGATGTTTATGGATTTAGTGCAGTGTTTAAACGTTTAAATTTGGTTTAAGCATTTACAATTCGGAAATTTTGATGTCAAAGATGCACGTCGCTCTAGTCGCTCTGTTACCAATAAAATGGATGGCATTTTTGAAAAGTAAAGCAAGATTAGTATATAGTAGTTACAACTTAGCTGAAGAACTGGGAATTGACCACAAAATAGTGTTGGTGCATTTGAACAAATCTGGGTAAACAAAAAAGCTCGATATTTGGATGCCTCACTGAAAGAAACCTAATAAACCGTGTACTCATTTGTGATGCTTTATTACGACGTAATGAAACAGATCCGTAAAAAGTGGATCACGTACGACAAGAACGTGCGAAAAGGCCGCGGTCAACGGCCGGTCAGGCTTCAGCGACTCTGGCGCAACCCGGGTTAACTCGCTACAAGGTGATGCTGTGTGTATGGTGGGATTTGAAGGGCATTTTTCATTATGAGCTGTTACCGCTAGGCAGGACCATCTATTCTGAACTCTACTACTTCGTAGTACAACTGATGACATTAAAGCAAAAAGTTGAGAGAAAGCGGATGGAATCAATCAAAAGAAGAGGTGTGGTTTTTCATCATGATAACGCCAAACCCCGCACATCTTTAGCCACTCAGCAGCAAATTAAGAGTTTGACTGGGAGGTGTTAAAGCATCCGCCTTATAGACCTGACCTAGCACCTTAAAATTTCCACCTTCTTCGGTCTCTTCAGAAATCTTTAGGCAATGTCAGGTTAACATCACGAGAGAACTGCCAAAATTACTTGTCGCGGTTTTTTTATCGGAAGCCCCAAAATTTCTATAGCAATGGGATCATCTCCCTACCTACCAGGTGGCAAAAAGTTATCGAACAAAATGTCAGACTTGGTTAAATGTAAATAAACTTTATTAAAAAATGTTTTGAATTTTCATATAAATGCGGAGAAACTTTTTCCCCAACCTAATACTTAGTAATTCAAGCTACATGCTAATCGAAGTGCAGTGCCCCATGACACAAGTATTAGCTTAATTTTTTTAAAGACTACTTATAAGAAATTAAGTTCCTTTATCAATTTCAAAAAGGAGGAGATATTTGTATATTTTTTTTGTGGTTTTCGCGCATATCGCCGAGATGCGTGGACCGATTTTAAAGATTATCTTTTGTTAGAATCAGGTTTTTGGGGTAATGGTGATTTGATAAAGATCTGATGAGCACTTCTACATAAAACAATGGAACTCCTCAATTACATACATTGCTCAGTTCGTGTTTGGTTATTTTAAGAGATATTTAATTGGGAATTCAGTTGATCACTATGGCTCATAAAAACTGGAAAATAAGAACTTTTTCAACAAAAATAAAACGACGAAAAAAATTAAGTCGCTAAAAAGTGAGATGCAAATACATATAAAGTCAAATTAACATTAAGAGTCGGTGTAATGCATGTTGAAAGATCTGAGTTATTGATGACTGCTGGGGTTGGCATAACATCTTGACCTGTAAAAGATTATATATACATATGTTATTTCATTAGTTCTCGTGTATCTCCTAAATAACCTATCATAATTTGACAAATAAGGTATAGTTGGAAGTCTCGATGGTACACTTAATTATAAGCTCGTTAATATCAAATTCCGTTTGATGAAATTACATCTTTTTGATAACAAAGTCTTCAACAAAATATTTTTTTTTCAACGACGTCGTGTAAATTAAAGCCCTTGCTCGTTTACTTGTTTTATGAACCGGAAAAGTATTAGATATTACAAAAATAATCTTTAATAAAAATGAAATTCAAAAATTAAAAATTAAATCAAAATATTTTTTCGCTTCATTATAACCGTAAAACTATGAAATGACTGACTGCCTTTACCACAAAACGAATTATAAAGACAAAAAAATAAGATCGAAGGACCATTCTGTTATTTTCTTTTATCTAAAAAGTCATTTAACATATTTTAAAATTGTATTCCAATAAATTATATATATAGTTCAATTTTTGGCAGAACATTTATCAATATTCTTTTCCGTTACAAAAAACAGGAAAATATCGTGTCCGCTATCACACACATCGCAGCTTAAGGCTGTGATGTGTGGCTGATATGTGCCTTCGTCATAGTTCGACCCATCCCTTTACCATGAAATGGGTAAGCTCATTCGTTCTGGAGTGGAACTCGTGTAATTAACTAGGTTTACAATAAAATTACGACTGGAGCGGAAGGAATTCATAGAATCTCGAAGTTGCTAACGTTCACCTGCAGCTATTTATAGGAAAAAATATATTAATAATATTATAGTATTTATATAGAAAGTTCTTCAAAACCATAACTATTTCTTCAGGGATAAAAAATTACTTTAAGGGTTTACAGGAGCTGCAGTTTTTAATTCGACAATGGAAAATCAAAATCGCTTTTACGACACTTTGGTCGAAAAAATATAGCATTTGAATCAGTTTTTTTTAGGCGTCAATCTGTATATATTCCGTGAAGATTTAAGTACTTTTTGGCGCTTAAGCAATTACATTTTTTGAAGATTTTTATTATTCTCTACATTCAGCGTTGTGACATAACTTTTTGTGTATTTTGAACTAATGGCGCTTACGCCCTACTATTTGGCGTATATACATAGCCTGAACTGGGAATATCCTGTGTTTCAGGCAAAAAGATCTTTACGACTTTAAATAATCAATAGCACAATAAATTCCGCGCCATTGCAGAGTTGTAAACTGGGTCAAAATCACTCATTTGTTCTTTCTGTTTATTCGTATTTATTTAACATACATACTGGCGTCCGCATTAATAATAAGGTTTAAATTACGATTCTGTCATACTAAAACAAAATATATGAAGTTCTAAAATAAAAATAACAGGTGACGCCCTCAAGCTCCTTCATAATCTTTGGATTGAACATAGTTTTTCGGCCATCTTTTTTTCACAAGACAGTCAGCATCATCCGTTTTATGATTGCACGGCTTTTTGAAATGCAGACATGTTGCACATTTTGGTGGTTTGGCTTTCTTCAAGCACTCTTTAACGGTTTTTTTTTGAGTGTGTATGCTGTTGGTCGCTGATGACCTTTACAGCGTTACCGGGTTTGGGGACGGCGAGATCCTAAGGGGACCTCAAGCCGAGAATTGGCGAATGCCTCTAGAAGTATTCCAGGCAGATGGCGTCTCCCCACGGGGGGAGTCTCCTCTCCGTCTGGAGCCTCTAGACTACTCGAACCTGGGGGGGGGGGGTCTGCTCAACTAGAGGGCGTGTCTGAGACTCGGATCTCGGCTCTAGTTAGCCGTTGTCGTGGGGGACGGGGAAAAACGCTCAGGTACCGGGTCTTCGCACTCTTATCTTACGGGTGCGGTGTCTGCCTAATGCTAAGCTAGTGTGCACTTTTGCTAGCTGTGTAGTGTTGGTGTTTGTAGCCTGTGTGGGAGGAATAGAGGCGCGTTGGCGCGGGTGATTTCGTCGTCGGGGTAGTCTAAGAAGTGCCTAGGCCGACGGAATCGGAGGGACCTACGATTGGAGGACGGGAGGGCGGACGCATGATAACTAATCGCTTTAATTACTAAGGGGTTCGGGTGATGCGCGGCTTTAACGAAGTAACGGCTCGAGGCGTCCTTCATATACTTCGCGATGGAGTCTAATTTGAGGTCGCGATGCAAATCGGTGTTGCGCACATGCGATTTTGCAGCGTTTGTAATTCACCGCAGTGACGGCAGGTGTTGTTTTTTGATTTGATGTTTGCTTGAAAAAAATGTATGAAATTTTTATTAAAATATTGAGACCTTCGGTGGTTCAGTGGTAGAAAGCTCGTCTGCTACGCGGGCGGCCCGGGTTTTAATCGCGGCCGAGCAAGGACCTATATTTATCAATGACTAGCTGTGCCCCGCGGTGTTACCCGCGGTTTATAAGGGATATTTTCCCGCAGTAAAACGTAACCTATGTGTTATTCCAAGGTGTCAGCTAACTCCATACCACATTTTATTTAAATCGCTCCAGCCGTTTACACGTGAAAAAGTAACAAACATTCACATTCACAAACTTTCGCCTTTATAATATTAGTGTGACCTGTGATTTTAAAAGTTTCCCTTGCATCGGGGTCGCATGAAACAACAGCTTTTTTTACATGTATTTTATAAAATATTTTTGTTTCAGATACTCGGACCGCAATCATATATTATGTACCGAGAGGCGATGCAGTACAGCGATACTAAGTAGTTTTATATTACCACCGATCTTGTGCATACCTACATTTATGGTAAGAATTTAGTGATAATAATTAAAGTTGATTTTAATATATTTAATTTTAAAAAAATGTTTGCATGCAAGGACCACACATCGGAAGTAAAACTTCTTTTCTTAAAAATCACGCATTACTCGTCACTCATCATCATCAGTTGTGTGACGCTCGTGACGCATTACCGTTTCATCTTTTCCATAGGATTTTAAATTTAAAAAACCCTTTTTTAAAACCCCCTTTAAAAAGAACGTTTACTTCAAAAGTCAACTAAGTCAACAAGTAAACTATCATATAACCAGCGTGAAATCTCAAAATCTATCTGTTTAAAGAAAAAAAATTCTCACAATTTAAATATGTGACAGTTTTGGTTGGGATATCCGAAGTTCCAAACACAGCGCGGCAAAAGGCTAGATGACAGGGTAAATTAAACGCAATCCTATTTAGTCAGTCAGTTGGGTTTTAAAAAAGAATGTACAGTTATTTCTTCTTTTTTCAATCAACCAAAAAATTACAAAGATTAAGCGCGATATATTTTGGAGCGTGGAGCCTCTTGACGTCACTTCTAAGTAAAAATTGTTCTAAGATGTTCATATTTTGGACGTGGAGGTTCGTAACGTCACTTCGAAGTAAGTAAGACGTCATGTGGCATTAAAAATCAAAATGTCACTGTTATGTGTTGATCATGTGAAAAAATTAAAAAAAAAACGTGTAAAATACTTTTCGATAATCTACCTGATAGTCGAATAAAAAAAGCTTGTCATCATCCCTATTGCGTGTGGCTGAAAAGAAATAAAAATCGTAAGAATTTAGAGCACTGTTTTTAAATACCATTCGCGGTTTTCATTGGATAATATGTTTGGGTATTTAAGATTTGGATCGAGAGGGGATTTGATGTATGTAAGAAGCGTTAGTTTATAAATAAACTTGTTCCTACAAATGTTTTAGGAAAAACTGTTTTTTTGTTTTTTTCTTTAACATATTTTTACGATTGACTTTCTTATTTTTTATATTCGTGCTCAGTTCTGAATGTCCCATAACATAAAACCCTTGGTCGGAGTCTTAAAAAAAGAGAATAATTTATCCGATAGATACCAGATAGCTGGGAACCTTTCCAATTGATTGCTTGCGTATATTTACCATAGAATTTGTGAATGGAATTTCTTCATATATAAACTTACAAACTTTCACATCCTACTAATCCTACTTATATTATAAATGTGAAAGTTTGTATGTTTGTTAGGTAGTCAATCACGTAAAAACGGCTGAACGGATTTGGATGAAATTTGGCCCACATATAGTTTATTTATACCGGATTCTTTAGGTTCCTGTGGTGTTCCCAAAGAAATAAATTTAACACGGATGAAGTCGCGGGCTCCCGCTAGTAGCTTATAAATTCTCTCCGAAACTCGGAGGATCTCAAAAAGATAGTTTTTATTCACCTATTTCATCCATCTTTCTGACGTCCGTCAGCGAAATCTGCTTAACTTAACCTTAACATATAATAATAATAATAAATAAATATTTCCAACACTCACACAAATTAGCCTAGCCCCAAAGTAAGCACTGTAAGGCTTGTGTTATGAGATACTAGGGTAACGGATAGAATACATATACTGTACATATAAAAGTATATTTATAAAGAAATACGTATAAAACATTCATTACCGGAGTACAAATGCTCGTATTCATCACACTAACATCTGCCCCCACCGGGATTCGAACTCGGGACCTCTCGAGTCGGCGACACCATGAAACCCGGCGTACAAACCACTCGGCCACGGAGGTCGTCCGTATATTTGTTATTTTTTTATCATGTAACTGCCAGATGTTTAAATCTAAAGAAAAATTTATTGTAGAAAAAATTACACGCGGGCATACATTAACATGCTAACCCTAACCTAACGTGACAATGACCTCCGAAATAAAGAGAAGTACTTACAATAATGCTTTAGTTAGATAATGACACTAGTAATAAAACTAAGACAAAAGGATGTAACTTAACTCATGCCGAGTAGATAAAATGTCTCCGCTTCGCGTTCATTTAGTTTTCTATTTTCTTTTCTCTAAGGTCTCTTTGGGAAACTTACATACGTCTACTCGTTTATAAAAACCTACTTACCGCACTAATATCATAATAGTTATTAGTCGAGGGGCTTACAATAGTCACGAGTTTGTTATAACAATCCGCACGAATGTCAAACTACGTTTTTTAACACATTTGGGAGAAAACATCTCTTATCTATTAGACAAGTCCGTCCATCCGTCCGTCCGTGGTGCTGTTTCAGCGGCCAAACCGTAAGAGATAGATACAGAGAATGTTTAAGTTATAAGTTAAGAATAGTCTGATAAGACTACAAACCGGATGTGAGTAACGTAGCACTTCCGGTTTTCGAGAAATCACGTGATTTCTATTTCAAACGAAACCACACAAAATCTCCGAAGTTCTCAATTAATTAAATACATTTTTTTTTGGTGAACATTTGGTTCACTGGTTTGCTAGTTATACATAATTTAAGTAATAAAGCATTTTTTTCAGTTCGATCGAAATTAAAAACAAACGACGGGTTGCATTCCGGGATTGCCGGCAGAAGTGGAAACTTGAATATTAACGTTGTGCATTTTTGATATTTTGGAATGGTTAGGGAATAATTTTGCACGAATTGCTTTAATTATCAGTATAAAAGTACTATTATTTATATTTTAGAATACAACATTTATTTATTGCGCTACACAAACATGACAATTTATATTACACTAAAAAAATTAATCTCTCAGAAAAATCAACTTACGTGATTCACGTTTAAGCGCACTTAGCGACATCTATTCTAAAAAAATCAACTTACATGAATCACATTTAAGCGCACCTAGCGACATCTCTTGTAAAAAAAATGCATTTTCTTCGCACTAAAGCTGCCACGTGGACGTCCTAGATAGAGACTTATTATTATAATACGATAAAATAAAATATTACTATGTTTCGTCCAATATATTGAAAGTCAACAACCTTTCCGTTTTCGTCTTACGAATTTTCGATTAGGTCACGTGTCCTGGACGCGATCAGCCCACGTGTCCTGAAGCGAATTTAACATTTTTTACCCATACAAAAAAGTGTACAACGACGCTAAAGAAGTTTTCACTTCAAAAAAAACCGCAAAGAATACGCATGGGAGCGTGCGTAATGAATTTTATCGCACGCTCCGCTGTATGGTCCTTAATTTTGAATTTTCGTACAATGTATACAACCTTCGTAAATGCATTCTTTTAACAAATGTGTTGAAAATAACTATTCTCATAATCAACACATAACAGAGATATTTTGATCGTTTTTGTAAAAAATATAATCAAAACTGACGTCACGAATTCCGACTCCTAAACTTTGACAGGCTTCTTTGTAATGTTTTGGTTGATTGCCAAAAGAAAAAATAAGTGTTATTTTTTTTAATATTCTAACTTATGGACTTAATATAGTTGCGTTTACTTGGCCCCGTTATCATCGCTATTTTTTCATGCTATACTCAATAAGCAGTATTAATAAAGTTTTGTTCTAATAAAATTATTGTGTATATCTCTGAGTCTAGAAACCGCAATAAAACAGATGTGACTTTATAAACCTATTTTATCAGTTTTAAGTTCTTACTCAAAGAACTAGACTAAATGCTTAATTTTTTTTAAGCATTGAACTGCTATATTATAAAATCTAAAGCTTAAAGCTAATCCGGTGTGACATCAGTACCCCTAGCACGAACCAGGAAGAGCAAAGTTTGCGAGTACGAAAAGTCAATGTCAAATTTTGTATGGAAACTTACACAGCAGAGCCACAAAGTACGTAACGAGAACTGAAAATCAGTACACATTTGACAATGACATTTCGGACTTGCAAAATATTCGAATTCGATATTGGTTCATGCTAAGGAATTCGAATAGTTTGCAAACCGAAATGTCAATGTCAAATTTTGTATGGAAACTTGAACAGCAGCGGCACAAAGTACGTAACGAGAACTAAAAATCAGTATACATTTCGGACTCGCAAAGGTTACGAATTCGAAATGGCTGGTGCTAAGGGTACTGAACCAAGTGGAAAATTTTCTAGTAAAATTTTCTTTAGAAAATTGACAATACGACACTATTTTGTCTTGAACTGAAAAGCTAGAAAGCGTTTGATGTCTACGTTGCTTTCTATTGGAGAAGCCAATTAGATGACAAGATTTTAGAAAATGAACCAAACTTGTTTTTAAGAACACAAACACATATTTACTTTTTTTTCACGTAATGCTTAAATTTAACTTGGTACTTTATTTTTTTTTTGTTTAAAATACGATATTTTTATGGCTAAAGAGCTCTTTCATGTCATGGATTGAAGTTCAAGTTGATTTCTTTGTCGGTTTCTGTAACTAGTCTAACATGACATTAAGATTCCTTTCGTCTTTGAGATTCTCTATGAAAATAAGAATACATTATAATACTACTTACACGATTAAAATATCACATGCATGCGTGTCAGAAATTAAAATCTTGAAACCCTGAACTTTGCCCACTGTTGCTAAGACAACTCTATACCGTTGTCTTTGCGATATTAACGAGAGTGTGGAAACTTGATGCGAGTAAATCACTAATAACAAGCTTACTCGATTACACCTGTCATGTCATCTATCATAGTAAGCCACCTAAGGCGCCTTCCGCATCGGATCGGTTGTCGTTTCTTTACCGAATTTGTACAGATTCTTTTCCGAGAGGCAATTAATTACTTTGTGACAATTTATTTAAATTACAAAACGTTACCTGATTCTCGTATTACAATAGCCATAGTGTTATAATAGTCCGCAAACTTAAATATGAATGTAGCCTTGATGTAGACAATACCTACACATTTAGCGCTGTTATTTTATTTACAAAAAAAATATACTTGTTGTTGACAGGTATTCGACATTCACACAACCGTCGTCTTAGAGCCAAGTGGACCTATAATCCTGTACCACGTCGACGCCGACCAGGAAGGTCAACTATACCAGATAAACTTCTGGGTACACGCCGTCCTAATCAAGCTGCTGCCTTGCCTAATACTTACGGTCATAAGCCTGTGGCTAATAAGAGAAGTGTACAGCGCAAACCAGCACCAGAAAAAGGTGCGAGTGTACAACGCCTGCCCAACTAGCAACAAACAATTGAAGAGGCAATGCAAAGCAGAAAGGAGGACGAACAGAACGACCAAGATGTTGGTAGCCGTTCTTCTTTTGTTTCTAGTGACAGAGTTGCCGCAGGGGATTCTGGGGCTCCTTAGCGGTTTGCTAGGCCGCTGCTTCTTCAAAAGATGCTACGATCTGTTCGGGGAGCTGATGGACGCGCTGGCGCTTTTGAACGGGGCCATTAACTTCGTCCTGTACTGCTCTATGTCTCGACAGTTCCGCATGACTTTCGGGCAGATCATGTGGCGTGCTCATCTACACAAGTGGCCTCCGCCAACCGCCTCCCATTCCGATGGGCAGTACACGTAAGTTCACGAATATATCCCGTTTTGTTTAACAAACAAGTCAGCATAAACAACCTGTCAATCACGCAGCACATGAAATTCCGGTATAGTAATAATATCGGGGATTTGTAACAGAACAGACTGATATTATATTTTTATAGCTGTTTTCGTTTATACTTTTCTATACGCGTTTGTTGGTGTGACTCATTCGTTAATTGCGTCGTTAGGATGATTGATGAAGCTATTTTGTATTGGTTTCTGTTTTGTGGTTTTTTGGTAATGACGATTATTGAAATCACATCAGTTTTAAGCCTTTTGTGCAAAGAAATGTCTTTATGTTTAAATACAACAATAGGAAACTTCATAAATTCAAACAATAAATCCACAAGATTTTTTCTAATTATTTGCTTGCATTAGTATTGGAATACCCTTTCTAAGTTGATGGATTGAATGGTCTGTTACAAATATAGATATTTTGTTAACTTACTTAATTCACAAAATAAATAGTTTTACAGTGCAAGCTATGTTTATAAACAAGCTTATCGCGTACCACGCGGCCATCATGGACGATTACGATACCAAAAATATCACTCAAACCTACAGCTGCAGCCTACAGACCCAATTCGATGAAAGGGTAGAGAGCACTACTGTATATTGAATTGACAAAACTATGAATTCTTATGTTTCCATTGTGTAATTTAGTTAAAATATGCCCTATTGCCTAATTAGAAAGATATCTGTCTATGCGAGTCTTGCATTGTGTGAAATTATTCAAATTTGTGCTTTTTAAAAAGTTTAAAATACAGTCAAGAGCAGATTTAATTTTTTCGTTTCAGGTTTTTGACTCCATGATGTTTTCAATACTGAAGTATTCTAAATATTTTTTACATTTACCATTATCAGAATACAGAAAAAAATGTTAATCCGAGAGAGAAAGTTATTTTCAATCATTAAACTTCAAATGAATTTGATATATTTTAATTTCTTCCCTAGATTTTCATTGAAATAGTAATATAATATGATTTAACAGCTCTTATCTGTTACGGATTCAAGTTTCACTTAGAAATTTCTTAGAAATAATAAAATAAACTGGATTCTGAAATATAGGTGACCCAGTTTAGTTTCTTTTGTGTGTACAAGGTAATTCTTAATTAACGAATATTGAGTATCTTTAAAAGTAAATATTTTGTTTCAGAGCAAAATCATCGGTTCCGTGAGGCAAGTTCGTACAAGAGAAACACGCAAACATTTTGCAGCAATTCTTGTAAATACCATATAAGAAACTGTTTAAAATTTAATGGAAACGAAATTAATGGGTGTTCATTTTAAGTCCTAATTATTATCTTAGTTAATAAGTGTTAGAATATCTTACTTAACTAGATAGATAACTTTTGAACGTTATTAAAGCTACTTAAGAAATTAATGTAAAAATTGATAGTGTGTAGTTAATCAATGTTCTCTTTATTGTCGCACAAAATTTTACTTAACAGATGTGTTCAAATTTAATTTTAACAAGCACAAGGTGGAATTCGTGACAGCTATTAAATCTTAAATTTTGCGTCATGAAATTTACTTTTTATAAGTTTATCGAACACATTTTCGTTATGATTGGTGTAAATACTTTCACGACGGCAATTTTTAAAATTAATACCTAGTCCAGGCTTGTTCTTCGTTTATAAATAAGGGGGTATAAGTACAAGTGCGATAAATTATTTATGGTTTTTTTTTAATTTGTATTTGATAAACCTTCCAATAATCAGATATTTTTTTAAATGTGCATATTGTAGGGTCAATTGTAACAAGGGGTCTAGTGTATCATAAATAATATTTATTCCCATATCTGATTGTCTATAGTCTGTCTTGGCGTGTTTTTATTAGTTTCATACACTCATTTTAAGCAGTTGTCATGAGACGTCAAATGGCCAGGTATAATATACAGATATTCCTTTTATTACACTGTGCCCTTTGTTACACTTGACTCTACCACTCCAGTATATAGTCTACACTCACCCATGAATGTCATCAAGCCTTCCCTATGGATTAAATAGGGAGAACGGACCAGGATCTCTTCGCTGAACCAGTCCGGAATGATGTGTGCAAGCAACTGCAGATACAGTATGAATGACTAAGCAGGTTATTGTGGCTTCCGAAGCACGAAGGAGCTCGAGAAAAAAATTTTTTTTTCACCCAATAGTTTATTTAAAAAGTTTTTGCAAACGTACATTAGTTATTTAGTAACGTAGTAACTCCATAAAAACTGATAAAAACTGACTATTTATAAGTCTGTCGCATATATCAGTAAAATACAACAAAAAATAAATATGTTATCAAATGTGGCGTATTAGAGGCAGGTGACGTCACACGGCTCTCATTAAAACATCAAACAGTACGCAGTAATGTCACTTCGACAGCATGTTTACTAGCAAGTGACGTCATTTTAGGCTTCGTCAATCCTAAGCGTTTTCGGTCACGTGACAATAGATCAAAAAATACTTTTCTATTTCATGATCTTTTGTAACATAATTACGGTATACAAAATTATTATTGGCATACGAGTATCTATTTAACATGAATATTGGGCGAGATTTTAACTATTCCGACAAAAAAAAACAGGTAGTTGATAATATTATTAAAAATCATGAAATAGAAAAGTATTTTTGGCCTATTGCCACGTGACATAAAACGCCTAGCGTTGGCGGGAGGATCACCACCTGCTTGTAAACATGCTATCGAAGTAACATTACTTGTTTGATTTTTAAATGATAGCTGTGTGCTTGTAAGATCCCACGTTAGCTAAAGAAACGTTTCCGCGGCATATTTAAAACAATTTTTATTTTCATTTTTGAAGTGCAAACTTCTTTAGCGGCATTGTACACTTTTTTTATATGGGTAAAAAATGTTAAACTGGCGTCAGGCAGGTGGGCTGATCGCGTCATGGCACGTGGTCTGATCGGGGATCTGACGAAAACAATAAAATTGGAAAGGTTGTTAACTTTCAATGTATTGGACGAAACATAGTAATATCTTATTTTATCGTATTATAATAATAATTAGTCTCTATCTAGGATGTCCAGGTGGCAGCTTTACTGCGAAGAAAATGCATTTTTTTACAATAGATGTCGCTATGTGCGCTTAAATGTGATTCATGTAAGTTGATTTTTCCGAGAGATAAACTTTTTTAATGCAATATAAATTGTCATGTATGTAGAATACAACATTTATTTATTGTGCTATCAATATATAAATGTTGTATTCTACCACATAAATGATAGTACTTTTATACTGATAATATAATCAAAGCAATTCGTGCAAAATTATTCCCTAACCATTCCGAAATAACAAAAATGCACAACGTTAATATTCAAGTTTTCACTTCTGCCGGCACTCCCAGATTGCAACCCGTCGTTTTTTACTGATATATGTACGTAACAGAATTGCAAATAGCCACTCGTCAAATAGGCTAGTTGAAACCATGGAGGGCATTATTTTTGTTTGAATTGCTATGCTTTATGTGGCATTAAGTCCGCCATTTGTTGTAATAAACCAACAATAAAGAGTAAATAAATAAATAAATACTTAGGTATCACAAGCCTCAGCATCATGTTGACCGCACTTTCTAAATAATAAAAAAAAAACATTAACGTTAGCTGACAGTATTATAAAGCACCTATTGGGTGTGCAGCTTCTCTTTTTATTAAGTGACAGTGGAGTCCAATTAGCTAGTGAAATTAATTACAGCCCATAAAAATGAAAGTAAAAATAATTTATTATGCGACGACAACATTTAGTAGTGAGTTAAGTGGACTCGTGTAATTAAAAGACACCCGCTTTGCTTAAGTAAGTACCATCATTACACATCAAATAAACTACGAATATCAATCTTTATCATCATCATCATCACCTTATTAATGCCCCTGCTAATCCCCTATGGATGGCATAGGGAGATGAGCCATGAGTCACACGTTGGCCCAGTGCGGGTTGGTGGGTACTAGCGACTGCAGATGCAGCCGGGACTAACGACTTAACGTGTCTTCCGAGTCATAAAAACAGTAATATTAAAGTAAAACTTTTATTACATAAAATCTAAAAAAATCGTTCATCTTTAAGACAACGTCGCATTTCATTTTTGATTGTTATTAATAAATTCAGACTTTATCAACAAGCATCGGTGGTTCGGTGGTAGAAAGCTCGCCTACCACGCGCGGACGGCCCGGGTTCAAAGCGTAGTCGAAGAAGACTATTCTTTTCTTTATTTATTGAGGAGCTTTTATTCTTACAAGAACATGCCAGCTTCATAGTAACCTAACCTAAATTATACCATTTCCATAACACTGCGCAGTGGGAGCGACGAATCATTGGTGCAATAATGCACTAGCTAAACCCTTTGCTGCATTCGGTGTCGGGTATGCTATAATTACTCCTAAGTTCTGAGTATTAATTTTGTACCTCTCCACCAATGCTTCTCTACCACAATTTATACATTCACTTAGAATATGTTGAACATGAGGAGCTCGATGGCGCAAGTGGTTTGCGCGTTCGGCTGCGATCGTTGAAGTTAAGCAACTTTCGCAGTGGTCGGTCATTGGATGGGTGACCAAAAATTTACTATCTCGAGCTCCTCCGTGCTTCGGAAGGCACGTTAAGCCGTTGCCACTAATCCGCACTGGGCCCGCGTGGTGGGTCATGGTCCAATCTCCCTATTCCATCCATAAGGAAGGCCTGTGCCCCAGCAGTTGGGAAAATAATAGGCTGATGATGATGATATTGAACATCATCCAAAGTGCCACAGATATTACAATTAGGAGAATTTTGAAGGACTTGTTTTTCATTAATGACTTCTAAAGTTTCATTTGGGTCGTTGTTTCAAAGAACCACACCAGTTTTTACTCTATACTAGCCGCCTAAGCCTGTTATAAGCACCACATCCTTCAAGGTACTCCTACAGAAGATCATATTAGAAACTTTGTTAACTCACAAGTACGTGTTCATTGCAATCTAATCAGACCCGTCTTTCCCAGTAGGCACTTTGGGCAATTGCCCAGGACCCCGCGATCGATAGGGGGGCCCCTCAGATCAAATACAAAGTGCCTACTTCCTGCCAAACGGAAGTCATAGGGCCCCATTATCCTAATATTCCCAGGGCCTCCAATAGGTCAAAGACGGCACTGAATTTAATTGTTGAAAAATATAACTTTTTATCTAAATATCATTTAGAGCTCCAAAATCAATGAAAAACTATACTAAAATTAGTCGGTCAGGGGTGGTAAAGTACAATGAATGAGCTGAATGAGATAACATAAACATTCATTTGTGATTTTGACGTGACGATTTTTCCACATTTACTCACTTTTTTTTTTAATTATTAATTAATAATATTTTTAACATTTAATTTAATTTAATTAAAAAATTTAATAACACAGCTTAATATTTTTCTTCGTGTATTGAGAACGTAATTTCTTACATGGAAAGCACATACAAAATGTTATTGAACGGTATATATTAGCGTTAATAACTTGCTGGCTGATTTTGTAAAGCAGAACATAATTATGTTCTGCATAGAACGTACCCTCCAAATTAAAAGTGACTTAAAACAAAAATTGGTATGGTCTAATCTATCCTCAGGGTTGTAGACTATGCTTTTATCGTCACTGTATTGCAATGTCAGAAATTAAATATAATTCTGTTTTCCCGGACCAATATAATCTGGACATTTTCAAGGTCAGAGTGAACAGGCATCTTCTAGGCAGGCGTGTACCATCCTAGGCATCATCATCGCTTTCCATCAGGTGAGATTGTGGTCAAACTCATTGCCTATTTTGCATAAAAAAAATGTTTGATATTTTTTTTATATAAGGCTTTTCAAGTGTACTCGTATTTATTTATAAATAGAAACATTTAAATAACAAAAACTGAAATACTTCCTACTTAATGTCCAATATTTAACAATTTAAAATCAGAATTATCTTAATACCTACTTAAATAATAAAGGACATGGCTAAGAAACTAGCCTTAACGTGTATAAATATTTTGCACTAGCCCGTAACTTTACAATATTTTTTTATTAATTATTACGCGTTTATTATTGTCATACAACTTTTGTGAAATAATTAAATATTTAAAAATATAAAAATTGACTTCACATATGTTTCAAAAGCAAACTGTTCCGTTTAACGAACGAACAATAAATGTACAAAAACAAATATTTGTGTAACTATATCGAAATAAACAATTTTATTTCTAAACTTCTTAAAACTATGACATATTTGGCCCTAATTTTTATTATAACAAATCACGGAAGGCCTAAAATAATAAATTTTATTATTCTGGCTTGAGACAAGACTGTATGATAAATTAATCCTTTAATTTTTGCAGAAGGACAAAATAAAACTTCACAGATTTCCTGTCAGGCCGACGATAACAAATTATTTGTATTTATGTTTGCTTTAAAGAAAGTTTTTGTGGAGGGTTAATCAGAGAAATGGGAAGAAAGATTCTAAGAAAATGCGAAATTGATGACTCTACAAATAATTGGCAACATCTTTTATCAACTGTAGTAAGGTAATGACATGGTAGGAGTTCTCATAATTTTCAAGATTGACACCATAGAATCATAGATGAATGATTGGTCTCGCTTCACGCGACCAATCATTCATCTATGATTGTGACTATCAAAAGTTCCTGAGCCTTTTTTCATAGAAATT